ATGCGCGTGCATAGACTCGCGAGCTAGTTATCCCTTCGCCACCACGCAATCTGCAGTGAACGTTGGACTGCCAGCAGTCAGCATAGACGACCATCATCAAGCTGCAAAGCCAATAGCAACTGTGTACGGAGTAGTTGTTAGTGTCTTTGCAGTTTGCACCATCATCAGTCAACAACTCTGAAATAAAAGCTAAGCATCCGGCGGCTTAGCTTGTTGTCAAAGGTGGACCAGGAGTCGAGGACCAACAAATTGTATGCAACATGCCATCATCAGCGTATGTAACCAATACAGTCATCACCAAGTTTTCTCTATGATAAGTACTTTAGAACTTTCCCAGTACACAGCATTTATATATATCCCCAAATTTCACCTGTGCAGACATTTTGTGTTCATCGCTACGAGACCTAGCCAGCTTGAGATTGGGCTCTGAACAAGGAAATGCTCAAACCATTTGACCATCTCCACATTGTAAAATATTTATCTGATCCTCAGGACTAATATAATACACACAATATCACGTTCAGCTTCATCAAATTCAATACATGTACCTTTCAGATTAACTTCTACCATGAGCCTTCGTAGTAAAGTAAGAAGAATTAGTAGAAGAGACACCTCATGTAAGGGCAAAGATATGCCATTAGTCATACCAAACATATATTCCCTCCACAACACAAATCACGGCAAGAAAAATAATGATTTGCATATCTAGGATATCTTATTCAAATTTTAGACATATATTCCATATAGATCACAAGGCCAAACACTTCCAGCAGGTAAAGGCATCTTTTTGCATACTAAAATTTATGTGTAGGATGCCTTATGCTTTCTAAAGTAAGCTTATGGCGATTCTCCACTTCAAAGTAGGCAAAATTATAAAATAAATGGATAGGATATGCGAGTGTGTAGCATTTCCCTCTTCTCTATAAATGTTGCATTTCACTCTAAATGATAATATGGAAAAAGTTTAATTAGGAACCCACTGTGCATTTCATTCTTGTCTGAATGTCGCAAATCTTTTACTCTTGTACATCTATTTTCGAAAAAAACATCATTTTTGCACAACTATAATATTGCAATTTTAGATATATATTCCATCTTGATCACAAGATCACACACTATAAAATTATATGTATGATGTCTTATGCTTTCTAAAACAAAAGCTACTTACGATTCTCCACTTCAAAGCAGACAAAATTAAAAAAAAAGTAAATGGATATATATTGTAAGAGCATGATAGACAGCATACGTGACTATGTAGCACCAACTCTCTAGAAGCATGACAAATGCATGTCTTCTCTACCAAACATGCGTAAGTAGTTTTTAGGTAAGGAATTTTATTCCAAACTCCTCTTACATAAAGCATGCAATCAACCATTCATTATTACAGTCTCAGCTCATGGCTATGGTGGAGAATGCAACCAAACTAAAGTTGCAACAAATAGCAAAGGTTTAAAGAAACTAAGCCAAGGTAAAAGCTCAAGCATTGAGCCCATGAATAAACAACCATGCATGCCTAGCAAAAATAGCCATGACCATTGTCTACATATGCCTTTTTCATCATTGGTTGCGTATATATCTTCCTTTTGTAAGTTGTAACACATAGCCTAGAAACTGGTCCAATAATGTGTCGCCCTATGAAGAACGTGTGTATATATATAAGACTATTTTTGTTGCCTTGTCAAAAATAATATCATCACGACTCCACCAAATTTCCCAGCTAGCATAGCGCACTAGATACTACCAAGATCAACCACCTAATATTTGAGTTTTCATTGTGTAGCCAATTTCTGAAAAAATGAGCTTCATCACCAGTTGGAGATTTTAGTCTCATCACTATTTGAATCGATCTCCAATTCACTTTTGCATAGTGGCAATATAAAAAAATTAAAGATGTGTTGAAATTTTGCAAAGATTAATGCAAAGTCTTTGATTTTGTTGTGTCTTTGGTTGATCATGTTATATTTTATATGTATTAAGAACTACTGTGAAATTTTACATCATGAGATAAATAATACAAGAGAGTACATTGGTTATATTTTAATGAATTCAAGTTATAGCAGTTTTGAAAAGATAATTTTGGCTTTCAACAATGCTAGTTTAGTTTTCTTTTTTGATAAATACTGAAAACCTTTTTACTCTTGCACATCTACTTCCTGAAAAAAAATGATTTTGCACTTTATGTTGTGTGCATGATGCCCTTATGGTTTTTAGAATAAGGCAAGGAAAATTTTCAAAGTAATTATAAAATTAATGAATACCAGTAGCACGATACATAACATGCACGTGACATCATCTCCATGAAAGCATGACAAATGCATTCCTTCTTTACAAAACATACACAACTACACAAATATCTCTATTCTCAGTTCTTACAGTTGGGAAACTTTGGAAATATAGATCTCAAAATGTTTGAATCATCCACACTTCTGGTGATGAGGTTGTGTCTCATATGTAATATAAGAACAAGCATTAAATTAAATACAATGAGAGAAACTAAAAAAAATATTAGTGCTGACTATAGCATGATTATGTGAAATATCAAACTCCATGTGAAATTAAGGTCAGATCCATCCTAACCAAGATATATAGTTTTGGCTTTGGACACTACTACGCTACTTTTCTAATATTGTAAAGTTCATGTTTCGAGTTCAACACTACCGGATACAGGACCTTTGCTGAGTGCCAGGGGCACTCGGCGAAGCCCCAAAAACACTCGGCAAACGACACTTGGCTAACCCTTTAACGGCAAACACAAGTTTGCCAAGTGTTTTCTGTCGGATACTCGGCGAACAAGTTGCCGAGTGCCCAAAAAACACCCGGCAAACTTTTTTTTAAAAAAAATAAAAAAGCACGCCGGGGAAGAAGGGAGGGCCCCACCATGCCGCACCACCACCGCGCCACCAGCAAAGCCGCCTCCTCGAGCCGCTTGCCACAGCAACGTCGTCATCCGCGACCATCGCGGACTCCTACTCCGCCACGCCGCTTAGCTACGACGCCCTCGCCGCGGCCACCTCTGCTCGCCGTCACCAAGAAGCCGTGGTGTCGAGCCTCCACCACCGTTGTGTCGAGCCTCGCCCAAGCCCGTCCTCGCCAGCGTCGCGCGTCGCCGAGCATGCCACCGGATCCACCGCTCCTCCCTCCGCCACCACCACCACGCCCGTCACCATCGGATCTGGAGAGGGAGGGTCGGGAGGGGGGCGGCGCTGCCGGATCTGGAGAGGGAGGACCGGGAGGGGGGCGGCGCATCCGGGAGAGGGAGGGCGCACCGCGCCGGCGAGGGAGGATGGGAGGGCGGGCCGCTCCGGCGAGGGAGGAGGGGAGGGCGGGCTGCTCCGGCAAGGGAGGAGGGGAGGGCAGGCCGCGCCGGCGCCGGAGAGGGAGAAGGGGAGGGCGGGGCCACGCCGGCGCCGAGAGGGAGGAGGGGGCGGCGCGTGCGCGTGCGCGGAGAAGGGGAGGGGGCGCTGGGGGCGGGAGGAGAGAGAAGGGGTGGGGACGGGAGGGCGGGTGGGGTGCCGGACGCGGTTAGGTTAAGTAGATATTTTTGTTGTTTGCCGAGTGTCCTAGATGGGGCACTCGGCAAAGTTTTTTTTTTAAAATTTTTTTCTTCTCCAACTTTTTTTGCCGAGTGTTTTAGATCTAAGCATTCGGCAAAGTTTTTTTTTTTTTTTTTTCTTCTCTTTTTTTCAGAAAAAAGATTTTATTTTTGTTTGTCGAGTGTATTTTTTAACACTCGGCAAATAACCTCTTTGCCGAGTGTTTTTGTTTTGACACTCGGCAAAACGTCCTGTTTGTCGAGTGTTTTTTTTTGTCGAGTGTTTTCAGCGCGGCACTCGGCAAAGAACTTGTTCGCCGAGTGCCCGAGGAAATACACTCGGCAAACATAAAAACACTCGGCAAATTTAAGGATTCCGGTAGTGCATCTAATTATAATCCTTAGTCAAAGTTTACATTATATTATATTTTAGTCATCTGATGCGGAAACAAAGCAAAAATATCAAGCTCCGACACCTAACCCTCTAATGAAGCTGTCATATCACACATTGCCTCTATAAATGGTAATATTTTTATATTAACACAAATATTCCGTTGAGAACATTAAACCGCTAGATATACACATTAGCTTCCTTACCCTTCGCACCCGTCGACTCTGATACGAAGACCCTTGCTCATTTTCACTACATCCGGGCGCCGATGTAGCGCGCCACTAAGGAAGCGACGACCCAATCCTTGGTTACTTGACACCATGCCCAGATCATGACACGGCGCGTCACGGAGGTGACGACCCGGCCCTTGCCCATTTAACACCATACCCGGGTTCCGATATGGCGCGTCGCTAAGAGGGTTACGCCCCAACGATTTTCTTTTAGGTTTCATCTCCATTTAAGTGGCTAAGTTTTTACATTGGCTCGCCACGCCTAACACAACCCTCCTCCTTTACCAGGGCTTGGGACCTGCTATGCTGGGACACCAAAGGCGCCCCACCATAGGCGGAGTTATTATTCAACATAAATATAAAAATAACAAAATAAATGATATTGGAAGATGAATAAGGCATGACAGCTAGTCTGACGCCACCCAACAAATATTTTCAAAGTATTTGATGAATACATTGTGCTGCTTCTAGCTAGTTAATGAAGTTGTGTTTCACCTTTCCCATAATAATAAACATATTTCCTGATATTTTGAACTAGCAATTATTGGTGAGACATCCTCAAACACGTATGACCTTATAACTTCGTAATTTCAAATTGGTTGACTGCAATACAAAGAACTTCTAAACAACAAGTGCACCTACAGTACTTTTTTTTTTTTATAAGAGTACAGCTGCATACTTAACTAGGCCAAAATAATGAACCACGACATGGGAGTTGATTTTACATGGAGGTGACGGCCGGGGCACACATGCATGAAGATTAAATTCTGCATGTACGAACATGCATGACAACTTATTGTCAACTAGGCGATTCATGCACCGTCGATCATGGTCATCAACGACCTCATCATGCCGCCGGCGTGCTCACCGCGTCCATGAACTCCTGGTCGGCGACGAGCCTCCCGAGCGCATCCGGCGCGATGCACACCTCTAGCGATATACTCCCTCCCCGCTCCGGCCCCTCGAACACCGTGGCCTTGCCGTCGGCCTTGTTCCCGGCGCCGCTCCGGACGGCGAGCGGCTTCCCCCACCCGAAGTCGTTCCCGAACACGTCGAACCTCGGCGAGCTCCCGGTGACCAGCCCAGTGCCGGCAGACGACAGGTTGTCCATGTACGTGAAGTCCGGCTCCCGGACCCACCGCTCCAGCGACTCCCTCATGGTCGCCTCGTCGAACGACGCCACGGCGCGGTTCAGCAGCCACGCCGTCCAGCCCAGCCCCTTCTCCTCGATCTCGCCGGCGGTGGCCTCCGCCTTGCCGATCACCAATGCGTTGCCGACGTAGCCCGGCGGTATGCCGTTCACGCGCCCGCGGCACCCGACGACCACCGAGTAGAGCGTGCCGTGCTCTGGAGGGAGGCGCCGGGCTCGGCACACGGCGCGCCAGAAGTGAGCGAGCACCGCCTGGAGCGACGAGATGGTGGCCGTGGCACTGCCGGCCATCTCATCGTTCGCGCGCGTCTTGAGCTTCTTGACACTGGCTACGGAGAAGGTGAAGAAGCATTCTTTCACCGGAGTGCGCTCGAACCGCCGTACAATGTGCTCTAGCTTGCGGAATGGCATGGGGATCGGCACCGGACATATCTCGGGGAACCACCTCTTGAACACCGGCGGCGGCGTTGACAAATCGGCCGGAAGGTCGGCACTGATGCCAACGCCGCCGCCAGCGGCTCGGTTGATCTCCGACCAGGTGTTGAAGAAGTGCCAGAATGCGGTGCCATCCCCAACGGAGTGATTCAACGTCATAGCGATGAAGACGCCGTCGGCGAGCACGGTGACCTGCACGGCGAGCACGGGAAGCTGCTCGATGGCGGCGTCCGCGCCAAGAACAAGGGCTAGAGGGTAGAAGTTCCAAACCACGGGCGGCGTGTACAGCGAGGAGATGATGTCCACGACGGCGACCTCTGGCGCCACCGCGTGCACGAACTCGGCGCCCTCGCCGTTGCACCGCAAGAACACGGACACGGTTCCGTCGCCGCGCTCCTCGGAGGCGAGGCGGCCGGCGAACGGGTAGAAAAGCCGCAGGGCGCTCGCGAACGAGGACTGGAGGGCGTTGACGAGGTCGTTGTCGTCCTCGGATGGAGGCTTGGGCAGGAGGATGCCCTTCTGGATGTAGTCGATGCTGATCAGGCGTAGGTCCCACGGCGTCAAGTGGATCACCTCGGCCTCCTCCTTGTGCCGATGGCAGCCGTTCCCGTTCACCGTCGGCGGATGGCAGCCGTTATTCCCGTTCACCATCGGCGGCGGCGGGAATGGGCGCACCATGCGCCGGGAGACGACATGGACGCCGCAGCCGGTGGCGCCCTCCATATGTGGTAGCTGCTCTCTTGGAGGCCGCGCGTGTTCTTTGGGCTGTTTGCATAGACTTGTACCGAAATACCCATGCTAGATCCCATTGTAGCTATACACAGAGTGTGTATATATAATTAAGGCGTTTTTGACTTGGTGTCATACCGTCATCATCAACCATACTCACAGACTGCGTCATTCTGCTCAGCCATGGTCCGCCTCTGCGTGCGCGCCTGCCGTTGCACACCGCCGCCTCCTATGCGACTTATTAACCTTGGCCCGCATTTGCAAATGACATTAGTCTGACTTCGTTGCAAACTCCATATGCATCACAACTAACATGCATGTGCTTCGCCCGGCGAATATGAATAGCGGAGTAAATCTATTTGCGGAATTGTTTTAATCACGAAATGCTAATTTATTTACCGAGTGCTGCTAGTGACACTCGGTAAACGTCGCCGTTAACGGTCAGTTTGGAGGTTAACGACCGTCAAGTCATAATTGTTTACCGAGTGTCGTTGTAGCACTCGGTAACGCTCTGCTCCGAATGCGCCGATATTAGACACTCGGTAAAATAACTTCACCGAGTCGTTGTTTGCTGAGTCCACTTTACCGAGTGTGGCACTCGGTAAAGAGTTTGCCGAGTGTGTAGCACTATTTGCCGAGTGTTACTCACACTCGGTAAATACACAGTATCCCGTAGTGGTGTTTCTATTACGTTTATTCGTCATCTTGTTCAGGTGAAAACAATTTTGCATAGAAAAGACCGGGTGACCATGCTCTTGAACTTTTCAACGATGATTTTTTTTCAGAAGTATTATCTCTACACCTAGAAAACCAGAACTCCGTCTATCCGGCGATACCAAATTCTGATCCATGCTCAACGCTTACGCGTCCGATACTAATTCCGATCCACATCATCATCTCCCGAAGCTCAAGTATCCGTGTCCGTGTGCTTATCATCCACTGGTGCAGTTCGACCCCTACTCGGACAAGCAAGCTTTGATCCATCTGTGTTACCTTCTCTGCATGGCAGGCCAACGCCTCGAGAAGAAACTAACTCTATGCGTGAGTTACGTACTGGACAAGAACTAAAAGGAGACCTCCGGTAAAGAGACCATGAAGCTTGCCATCTGTACACTTCTGAATCTGGAGGCATATATATCATAAATATATTTACTTTTTATTTCTTCCAATTTGATTTATGCAACTGGCCGGCTACAAATCTAATAAAGTCTTGGTTATCAAGATATTATTTTTTTCGTTGCAACGCACGAACATGACTTATTTATTACCGCAGGTGTGCTGGATATAAATAGGACAACTGTATAAATAGGACATTTAATTTCTAGTTAGGCAAAAATTGCCATAATTGGCTTATTTATTACCGCAGGTGTGCTGGATAGTTCTTTCGACAAAACCGATGCTTTATAGTATTGCACCTATAGTCATATACCTGAGAAGTTTAGGGCATCCCCAGCGGGTAGTTACGTCGCTGGTTGAGTTTTACATGGGACTGTATCTATATATAGCATGCTGACTCTGTGGCCGTGGACGTAAGGCGTGTATCCAAACATGCCCGTAGTCAGCTCTCAAGACTATTCGAACTTGCATTGTCTGAATCTGACTGTACAATGACACAGCCTGACAAGGAGCACGGTAGGTTAACCTCATGAACGAATTGTTCAGCGCTCCTACTATTTTACAGCCGAAAAAGAGGAATTGCGCAGGCACGTGAATATTGTCGCGAGCTACTTATCCCTTGGACGCCACGCAATCTGCAGTGAAGGTTAGACTGTCACCGCTCAGCGTAGACCATGCTGGCTGCAAAGCCAATAGCAACTGCAGTTGTTGGTGTATTTTCAGTTGCACCATCATCAGTCAACAACGTAACTCTCAAATAAAAGTTAAGCATCCGGCGGCTTAGCTTGTGTTCTCAAAGGTGAACCACGACCAACAAATTGTATGTAGCATGGCATCAGCGAAACCAATACAATCACCAAGTTTTCTCTATGATAAGTACTTTAGAACTTTCCGGTAGACAGCATCTATCCCCAAATTTCACCTGCGCAGACATTTTGTGTTCGTCACAACTTTGACCTGGCTTGAGACCAGGCTCCGAACAATGACCAAGGAAATGTTCAAACCATTTGACCATCTCCACGTTGAAGGGTATATATATATTTTTTGAGGGGAACAGGAGGGGCTTGCCCCTACTGAATTTTATTAAGAAAATTTTAAAACAAGGATATACAGGAAGAAAGGGAGAGTTCAAGATACAAAAAAAAAAAGTAAAAAAGAGTTCATCATCGTTGAAGGGTATATCATACTAACACTTTGGTTGACGTATTTTATTATCTGATCCTAAGGACTAATACGCGCGCACAATATCACGTTCTCAGCTTCACCAAATTCACAACAGTACCTTTCAGATTAACTTCTACCATGAGCCTTCGTGGTAAAGTAAGAAGATTTAGTAGAAGAGACGACACCTCATGTCAAGGACAAAGAGATATACCATTAGTCATGCATATCAGACATATATTCCCTCCACAACACAAATCATAGCAAGAAAAAAAAATGATATGATTTGCATCTCTAGGAAATGTTATTTAAAATTTTAGACATATATTCCATATAGATCACAAGGCCAAACACTTCCTGGCAAAGATAAGTTTTTTCATACTATAAAATTAGGTGTGCAGGATGCCTTATGCTTTCTAAAGTAAGCTTATGGCGAATTGGCGATTCTCCAATCAAAGTAGGCAAAATTATAAAATAAATGGATAGCATAAGAAGCATCCATCTTTTCTAAATGTTGCATTTCACTTTAAATGATAATATAGGAAAAGTTTAGGAACCCATGGTGATTTCACTCTTCACTAAATGTTACAAACTCTTTTACCCTTGTACATCTATTTTCTGAAAAAGATCAATTTTGCATATGTGACTGTCTAGCACCCACTCTCTAGCACTACCCCAGATCTGGACATCACCGCCGGTTCAAAAACCCCCTTCACTGCCGGATTTTGAACCGACAGTGGCATACCGACAGTGATGTGGGGTTGACATCACTGTCGGTTCTTAAAAACCGACACGGATCTACAGACAATAGTGTCGGTTCGTGGCTCCACCCGACAGTGTCTAGTTGAATAACACTGCCGGTTCGTGGCTCCACCCGATAGTGACGGTTGCTTCAAGAGTGTCGGTTCTTGCCCAAACCGGTAGTCTAGATCAAGCCAACATTATCGGTTTATGGCTCAAGCCGGCAGTGTTGAGCAAGATAACACTGTCGGTTGTTGGCCCAAGCCGGCAGTGTTGAGCAAACCAACACTGTCGGTTGATGGCTGAAGTAGGCAGTGTTGATCAAGACAACACTGTCGGTTAATGGCTCAAACCGGCAATGTGGAGCAAGAGAACACTGTTGGTTCATGGCTCAAGCCGGTAGTGTTGAGCAGTCCAACACTGTTGGTTCATGGCTCAAACCGGCAGTGTCGAGCAAGAGAACACTGTCGGTTCATGGCTCAAGCCGGCAGTGTTGAGCAGTCCAACACTGTTGGTTCATGGCTCTAACCGACAGTGATGGTTACGACAACACTGCCGGTTTATTGCTAACCGGCGGTGATGGCCCATTCATATTTTATTGTTTTATAATTTATTTTAATTTATATTTTTTTGTGGGATCGGGTTTCATTTTATATATGCTACGTAGACGACAGGTCCATAAATATTAAACATTACAAATGTTACAGTTACAGTTCAAATGTTATATCTAGATCTCGATCCCTCAAAACAAAAAAGAAATGTTCTCGGACTTCTTACAATAATCTGGCGAGCCGCTCTGGGCCATACTGGTCCTGTACTTCACGGATTGTGCAATGGAAAATAGTCCATCTTTTCCAATACCTCGGCTAAGATGAATTTTGACAGCTCCGATTGTAGTGCGACGATCTCCATCTTTAGCAGCCTTTCGTGCTTAAATTTCTTGCGCTGTCGTTCAAAAAAGATGATATCCAAAGAGGAACAGTAAATCATTTTGTTGAATTATTAACAGACATAAATGAAATGGGGATTATACACACCAACTTATCGGCTTTTTCCGATTTCCCGCCGATGTAGCGAAGCATTGCCCACATTACATAAAATCCGCATTCATTGTTTCCCGTCGGCTGTGATAGGTACTTCCCCTCCATTTCGACAACCTTGAATGGGACCGGCTTCCCACCGATATGGCTTATTCGGACACTGAGCAACATTAAAAGGAGAAACATTAGAAAGCAGGTATGTGTGATTAGAAAATAATATGTTATTATGATCGCTTACTAATTCAGCACTAACACCAGTGCATCCAGATGATGAAATGGTTTTTTCTTTGAGTCCCACACCTCGAGCAGATTTTTAGCAAGATTAACACAAATGAAGACGAAATGGTTGCTGCAATCACAGAATCCTAATTATCGAATAATCTTAACGAAAAAGAAGCATAAAATTAAAAGTCGAGAACACATACTCGCAGTTGTAGGCTAGAAGTATGTGGGTTTTCTTCTTCATCGTGAATTCGTCGAAAACAACAATCAATCTCTATTTCAGGTCTTCCACATCACATCCATAGAGGCCTAGACATGTCCTCTCATTGACTCGCATGGGGTCCAAGAAGCCTATGTAATCCCATTTGCTTTTTAGAATGCAAAATTTTGCTATACACCTATATAAAATCATGGGAAGTGCTCAAAAGTTAACAATTTGTGTCTCGAGAGAGTAGTTAATTATAATATCGTGCGTGTAGGGTACTTACATAGTCCACAGCGTCAACAGTTGAACATCGAGATCGCATTTCTGGTATAGCTAGAACAAGCACTCCCACTCGACATCGAACTTCTCTTCTTCAGGATAATTGAAAACATGTGGCGAACGGATAATAACCTCAAAACCAAAGTTGTCCGTCTCTGTTGCTTGAGCCCTGTAATATTTATGTAAATGGCGCATATATATTGTCAGATTTTTATACTCATGATCGTGAA